AAAAGCATTGATGCTGTTTCACTGTGTGAAAGTGAGACAGTAAGAGAACATGATTGACTTGGAGGTGTCCAGAATTGTTGTTATGGTTTTGCTTCTCAGTGAACAAATCCCAAAATGCAGAAATCCGGAGGTCCTGTGTGTTGGAACCCACTGCACAGGAGATGCAGATTCAATTGTAGTTGTCAGCAAAGACTTAGCTAAGATTCACAGATGCGTAATTTTCCAATCTGGGCTGCAGGAGGCAGACAACGATTAATAGGACACAGTTATAAGCGGTAATACTCTAAAATGTCATTCCAGAAGGAGACTGTATTTATTTATATAATGGAAGCTTATTTGTTTTGGTTTATATCTGCTTTATTGGCTATTTTTGCACTCCCCCTCCCTTTTAGGATGATTTTGCAAGCCACCTTGTGTCCCCCTGTGGCCAATAAGATAGACTTATGGTTATGCAGTTGTTAATAATGGCTTTAGTGCATACAGGAACAGCCATCTGCTCTAGATTCCAAAGTTATCAATTCTGTTGTCTCTGTCTAGCTTCCTGTAAGCAGTGTTACAGCTGCAGTACAAACACAGATTTATAAGGGCTTATAAGACTGATGAACTCGCATGTTCTAGAGAGTTAAACGACTCATCCAGCTAATTCCCATGAAGACATCACCCTAAGTACCCATGTTTGATGGGAAAGCCGGGGAAGAGAAGGACCGTTGTGTCTTCCTAAAATACCCTTGGTCCCCCATTAGGAACCCCAAAGGAGGGTTAGAGGGACTAGATCTATGCCAGATCAGCCAAGGTGGCTGAGCCCCATAGAGAAGGTCAGGAAAAACAGGCCACCACGATAGCAAGACAAAGAGGAAAAGTCTCTTAAGAAAACCCTAACTGCCTTCATGCTAAGTGGGAAGGGATTTTATCTGCAGGTTAGGGTTAAGATTCAGGTTAATGTCCATGTTGGGAGCCCTGTGCATGTCCGAAAGCCTAGAACTAGCCTGCACTGGGCAAGCAGGACAAGCGGTCAACAAGACCGTGCTGAGTGCTGCCTTTTTTCATGCTGTCTGGAAGGAGATAGATGGAAACAATGTCTCTGTCCCTATCAAAAGGAAATATTGTGACTCCCCCAAGCCACTCCAGGGAGTGGGATGGAAAATGAATCCTCCTCAGATATACCCTTTCCCTTAACAGCAGGATCCTCAGGATATATTTTTTTTTAAAGTGGGGAGCCCGTGCCTTCTGAGTGTCTCTACATTCTGGTGCTGGACCAAAGTGTTCCTGTCTCAGGAACTTGCAAACATGAAGGTGCAGATTCCACAGTGAGGAGTGGATAAATACCTCCCATGGGAGGACTCTTCCCACCCTGGGAATTTCCTCCTAGTTTTAGAAAAGGTGGGGATTTCTCCACCTTTTTCACAAGTTGCTGTCATGTCAGGAACAGTGCCAAAATGGAGGGGGCACTGGAAAGTCTTGGCCTCTCCCAAATTTTGCAGGGATCTTGCTGTAGCTCATGCTCTGGTTTCACAGGTAAAGATTTCCCTGGATATTTGACAAATGGCCGCAAATGAAAACATTTGTCCCAGTAAAGATCCCCGTGGAACCTTACTGTTTACATCCCTCCTTTTAGAGAGTTGGCCATTCCTTCCTACTCTTTGCTTTCTGTTCTTTAATCTCTCCTCTTAATTTATGACTGCAGCTTTCCTTGGCAGTCTTTGGTGAGGACTTTGCCAAAAGTCTTTTGCAAATCCAAGTCAACAGTGTTAGGTTTCCACCAATGTGATGTAGAAGCTCCACTGTGCGGGAGCTCCAACCAGTCTTGCAGAGGGCCAAGTCTGAATTGGCCCAGTCTTGTCGCGGAATGGACAATCAGAATGGAACTACCTCTAGGCAGGCCAGTATTCAGAGAAAGGAGTGGATGGGAACAATTTCCCCAGCTAACCAAGAGGCCAAGTATAAGTTTAGATCTTGAGCATCTTCAGTCAATGCATGTAAACCAGGAGATGACAGAGTACGATGTGGCAAATTATTTGCCTGGAGAAACCTCACCATCCTATCAGTCAGAAGTGGGTGGAAATAGGTGCCACTTAGGATAGGTGCTGTGTACCCAAGGACAGAAGAAAGCTGTGCAGGATCAGACCGAGGCCCAAGTAGCATTCTGTTTGCACAATACCCAACCTGATGCCTTGGTGGGAAGCCTGCAGACCAGAAACATGTACAACAGTGTCTTCTTCCCCTCACCTTCTCCAGAAAACTGGTATTGCGAGGTATAAATACTAGAAGCCCAACTGGTATACCCGTCCTCCAAGAGGCTGCCACCCCAGCCCGTGGAACGTTGGGGAGTTTCTGGCTAAAGATGGACAGATCACTCCATTTCCAAATCATGTCAGTTACACATGTTTTCCCCATAAGTCTGTTCTGTTCTATTTCAGTTTTAATCTGTGTTTTTTTAGTCGAGAAAGTACAGATCAAGTCGATTCACTTTGAAATGCCAAATGAGCTCCCTGAGATATCGTGAGATTCTTTCATCTGTAGTGCTTGTGGACAAATTCTAGTGTGAAGTATGTTCCCAACAGTCTAGAATGCCTTTGTTATATTTTAAGTTTTAGTTAATTGTTAATGGTGAGTGGACTCAGCAGGTGGGAAAGGAGGGATGAAGGAGGACTTCAGAAGAAGAAAAATAAACCTGCTTTTTAAAGAATTTCAGCAGGATGGAGAAGAGGAATCAATAGTTAAGTGGAGGACAAAGTGATATTAAGTGTTTCCTGGCTGCAGGTTGCTTGCAATGAGATGGGACTCAGTGCCCAATGTCATTAATCTATAAGCATGCGAGGGGTGGAATGGAGGATTGCTGAAGAGATAGCAGGTACTCAGGGGCAAGAAAAATGTTCTCTGCAGGTGCTCAGAGGTTCTATCATCCCAATATTGGTAGTTTTTGCTTAATAATTCCATTCCATGTCTTCCTAGCTGATCCTACAGTACCCCATTATTTTGCCTTGATATTCTACAGCTATAAAATTAGACAAATATTCTCAAAATTCAGAGTGAACCACTTGCAGAGTTTTGGACAAACAACCTCCATTATCCCACACTATTGTTTGTGCTGGCTGGGGCAGATGGAAGTTGTAGGCCAAAAAATATGGAGGGCCATAAATTGTCCATCTGTATTCTAAATGGTCACAATGTAACACAGTGCAGATATGCATGTATTTTTTTATTTTAAAAGATATTTTCTTGCTTTTTAAGTAAATTGTTCCCAAGACAGCATACAATAGTTTTGCAGCTGTACTAAGGATGGACGAATCAGTCTGTTTGGGGTGCAGGTCAGTTCCATCTTAAGTCTGTCCAGCCCCCTTGCTGTGCCACAGAGTTCCAGGCAGACTTTGCAAGGGAGCCAAATGCTGATGAAGCTGATCTGTGGATTCTGCAGCAGCCTGCTTGTTTCTGATTCACACAGATTCTGTGGGCTCAGAGGCTGGGTTTTACTCTGGGGAAAGGGACTTGCACAACTGCAAACAGGAGTGATGCTCTTGCACATCCCTGGCTGCCCCTTTTTAATTCCATCTATGTGCATACAACAGAATGAAAGACACCTGCCAATCTGCAAAATACAGATAGAATGGGCTTAACAAAATCCACACATCCTTGTTTATCAGTCCATGATTTTTCCTGAACTGCTCCAAAATTTGCTTTATGCCAATAGATGAGCAAGGAGGACTGACTCCTGCCAATGAAACCAAAAAGACTCTTCCCTGAAACTAGTTAATTAGGCAGCTAAAATCAAGAAAGCTTAGGGTGCGATGGAACTGTGTAGTGTAGTGGTTAAGAGCACGGGGCTGGGACTCAGGCGACCTGGGTTCTAGTCCCCAGTTGGCCATGGAGCCAAGGGGGGACTTTGAGCCAGTCACAGGCTCTTACTCCAACACAGGGTTTTTGTTGTGGGGATAAGAATGAGAGCAGGAAGAGGAGAGTTATGCAAGTCGGTTTGAGGTCTTGGTAAGAAAAAAGGCAGGAGATAAATCTAATAAACCATGCATGGAATAATTTGTGTAAGCTCCAATTCTGGTATTAGAAATGAATTTTGGGCTGACTATATGATTGGAAGGAGTCTTGTTTCTTAGTTCGGCTCCTGCCTTCCCTCTCTTGGACCTGGCTCCATTGGTTTGATTGTGAGATTTTACTGATAAAAAGATTTTGTTCCCAAATGTCCTGCGATCAGCATGCAGTTCTCTGCTCTGAGTGCCATGGTTTACTGAGATTCAGTGAGAGGGTACCTGTGAGCAGAACTTTTATATGGAATGTCCTCCATGGAGTGCTCCACCTAGCACCAGGCAAATTTAAAAAAAAAATTGTGCCAGGCCATATAAGATAATGTTGCTTGTCTTATTTTCCAGGATATGTTTAATGCTGTGTTTTAAAATGGTCTTTCCCCATACTTTAGCTGTTTGTTTACTTATCTCTTCCTTTAAAATATATTTAAATTATTTTACAGTTTGTTTCTGCATTAGGAGTTTAAAAAATACTCAGTGTTTTTATCCGTTTTTATTGCATTTGCTTCTACTAGATATATTAGCCTGGAAGCTTTGTGTATAGGACAGCTAAGTGATTTAATCAATATAAAGATGGCATAGATCTGGCAGACTCTATTTCTGTTTGTTGCTGTGCAAGATGGGATGAAGGTGGAGGGGAAGGCACATGAATGAGAGAAGAACCAAGGGAGCAAAGGAAGAACAAAAATCAAGTGCCAATGGAAAGACTTTATTATTGTCCTGTATGTTTTTAGAAATAGCCAGATCCTTCATCAGGGGCTGCTCATCTTCCATTCAATGTGCATCAGAGGCTTCATGCACTCAGAGGTGCATGAAAATGGAAAAGAACAAATAGCATTGTTGTAGGACTGTGGGAAAAGGTTGTTATTCCAAGCGCTGTCGATGCAAGCAACATGAACAAAGGTCTCTGTTCATAATTCATCAGGGCATGAACCAGTCTGTTCCCCTTCTGTCTCCCCATTGTAGGCTCCTACCTGATGGTCAACTCCTCCCAGCATGCTCAGGGGCAGAAAGCATATATCCTCTTCCAGACACTGAGTGAAAATGACACCCACTGCCTCCAGTTCAGCTACTTCATGTACAGCCGCGATGGGCACAGCCCTGGGACTTTGAATGTCTACGTGAAGGTGAACGGGGGACCGCTGGGCAGCGCGGTGTGGAATGTCTCTGGCTCCCATGGGCGGCAGTGGCACCAAGTCGAACTGGCCGTCAGCATGTTTTGGCCCAACGAGTACCAGGTGAGCCCGGATCACCCTTTTAGTGGGAGATAGGTGCTGGGGCTCTGCTCTCCGGGGCTCCAGCTTCTTAATACAAGGAACTGTGTGTGAGAGAGCTGGGAATATGTCAAGAAAGAAAACAAAGAGGAAGGTCAAGATCCCTTCTTGCTAATGCCAGAGTGTAGGACATGGAATAATCAATTCAAGTTGACAACCCAGATCCAGGAAAAGCTTCCTCACAGTCAGAGCAATACGACAGTGGAACCAGCTGCCTAGAGAGGTGGTGGGCTCTCCCGCACCGGAGATGTTCAAAAATAGGCTGGACAGCCATCTGAGTGGGATGGTGTGACGTGGTGTCCTGCAACAGCAGGGGTTGGACCCGATGGCCTTTGTGGCCCCTTCCAACTCTTCTATTCTATGATTCGATGAAAGGCAGTGAGAAGGAGAGACGGGGTGTGTGTGAGACAGAAAACGAAGACAGAATGCTGCGGATTTGGGGAACTGATGACCCTGCATTGTGGAGTGTGACAGATGGGTCTTCCCAATTGCCCTCTTCCTCTCACAGTGCAGCAAGGTCTGGGGATGTTTCCGGAGCCATGCAATGGGGTACCATCTGTGTTCTGATGTTCAGATGTGAGTGTGGTTACCTATGAAGCCAAATTTGCGCTACCCATGTGCCAGAGGGGGCCATGGCAGAACCAGAAGCTTTGCAGGAAAAAAACTCCAGCTTGATATTATTATTGCTGGTATCTACTGACTGTATTAAATTGTTTCACAATTGCATGGAATGTTATTTCATTAGCTGCCTTGAGGGGACTTTGGCCATTAAAATCAGCCTAAATGTACTTTGAATTATTGACAGCAATAATAGACGATTTGTGTCTGCTAGTGGCAAACCAGAAGCCCAAAAGTTGGCGTGAGCAATAAAAGGTCCCCAAAGATGTGCAACTCAGAGCGATTTGGTTTTAAAATCACATTCATTGAAATATGTCTCTCTGTGTGAAGCTTCTTCAGTCAATACTTCCCAGACTGTCTGTACCACTGCGTAGCTCTGTGGCTGACACTCCTGAGAGCCAGAGGAAATGGGTTGCTTGCTCTGCAGCTGCTCCTTCCCCTTGCAGTGGGGTAGCCCCCTTAGGGACGTGAAAGGAGCAGCCCCCTCCCTCTGTGGGTCACTATGGGTCTCTTATGGCAGGGGCATGGCTAGGGATGCCAGTGAGTGCGACTTTGCTTGCACAAGGTGAGCACAGTGTGTCCAGGTAATGCTCAGGTGTGTAGCATCACCTGATGCCTTTGCTACTCAAACTTTTGCCAGGCCAGGTCCATTTGCACGTAGTTACTATGTGTTCAACTGTGTTGTACCTGAACCTCTACAAGAGCCAGCATCTTCGAGTGTCCTGACATGACATGCGTTCTGCTCCTCAGGTCCTGTTTGAGGCTGTGATCTCCACCGAACGACGAGGATACCTAGGGCTGGATGATATCCTGCTCTTGAATTACCCCTGCTGTAAGTGTCACCTGACTCTAGTCACCATTTTGATCTGCACAGGGGCACCTGGACTGCCACAGGTTCCTTCCAAGTGCATGTTGCTCTTGCCAGATGAAATATAACCATCAACATTATTCATAAACCTCTGGTAGGAAATGGACAAGAGTGAATCTGGGGTTGGATGGGAACGTGGTTTCAGTTCACAAGTCACTCTAAATGTCCCATTCACAATCCCTAGTGTGAAACGGATCACGTTTGCTCTGCAGATGTTTGCACATTCCAAAAATTGCCTTCACATTTGCCAGCTGTGAACTTGGAAAATCTCCAACATTCTTGTAATATACATATTTTAATTAACTCATGCTTCAGTCTATGGATAAATTTGTGTTTGTTTTTTTTTTTTTTTGAAAAAGGCTCTGAATTTGGGAATTGCTTGAACAGCTTTCATGTTAGGTAGATGTTCACTTTGTGCAATTGCCCTATTTATGTAAAAAGTACAGCAAAGATATACAAACCTTTATTATACTTCTATCCCACATTTTTTCCTGAAAAGAATCTGAGTTGAAAATAACTCAAATAGGTCAAATAATCTCAAATAACCTTGTTTCTCCTCCTCTCAATTTTCTCATGACAACAACCATGTAAAGTAGGAAGGTCCATTAGACTCACCAGTGACCTCTGTGACCGTGCAATTCTATGATTTGGTGATTCTAGGACTGGGTGGGGACTAGAACCTGGACCTCCCGCATCCCAGTCCTGCACTCTAACTCTGCATCATGATCCTTAAATTGAAATCATGACAGACTTGCCCCCTTGGTTGCAGTGGCCTTAATTTAAGAATAATTAAGCCTGGAGCATCTCAGTGAAAGATATTTACGTATGCTTCGGTGGGTTTGCACATTAATTAAGCAACTTCCAAGAAAAAAGAATCTCATCATTTGGGTTCATTTTGTAATGAATACTATGAAAATCGAAAGAGGAGTGAGAGCTGAAGGGGCATGGGAGTTCACCAGACGATTTACCTTAAAATCCCAAGAAGAAAAAAAATAGGGTATGATTGCAATTTAAAAAGAAGTCGTCATCAAGTTCAGTCAGTTTCCCAAAGGTTTGGGTCATGGAATAACAGCCAAGCTTCCTCTCAATCTGCAGCAACTTGCTGGTTGAATTTTGCTTCTTCTCAATTGCATGCATACGAACACGCCTTCTCTGCGTAATGCTTGTCTGGGGAAACAAAACGTTAGTTTCTTAGTCCATTGCATGAAATGCAGAGCCTTAGCTTTGGCTCCAGTGTGGACTTTTTACCTATTTTAGTCCAGGCCTTCTCTTCTAGTCCCTGACCTGCGAAGTTTTTGTGCCTTGACCGACATTACTGCTTTATCACTCCCGAATTCTTTCCATGTCTGCCACAGAGAGTGCAGGTGTGTGGGAAAAGGTTATGGGCCAACCTTTCAGCATTTCAGGGGAGGGGGGGCAGGGAGTATCATGACAGGGAGAGACTGGGATTTTTCCTGACGGTGCCAACAAAGGGAGAGCTGGCTGGGCAGCCTCCTGGCTGGCTTTATCTTTGGAATTTCCTTTAGCTGGAATCACAGCTTTGTGATTTTGCTGGGGAAGAGTCACAACTCTGTGGGAGAGCAGATGCTTTGCATGTTGGATGTTACAGGTTCACCTTCCAGTCAAAAGGGATTCGAGATAGTGCAGCTGGTAGAGCTGTTGGCTGGGTGGCCACTTTTGCATTGCATAAAAAGGAACGCTTGATCTGAAAGGAAGGGCATAGATTTGAATAAGCGTTGCCCATGATATGGATTCTTCTATGTCCGTATACGATCTGGAAATAATGATTTTGAAATGCTCTGCATCCCAGCATGGTGGGGAAGTTTATGTCCAGGTGTTCCATGGGAGTGTTCATTGTGAGTGGGCACCTAAGCTCTCCCAAGTTCCTTGCCATTAAGCTGGGCTTGGACTGGGTAGACTCTGCATAAAACAACAACAACAACAAAAACCTGTCTTGGGCTAGATGAGGCTGCATTAGGTGAATGGCTCATGTTCCTTCAATAAGAGCCAGTGTGGTACAGTGGTGAAGATCATGGGACTGGGACTCGGAGGATCTGGGTTCTAGTCCCTGCTCAGCCATGGAGCCAACTGGGCGACTTTGGGCCAGGCACAGACTCTCAGCCCAACCTACCTCACAGGGTTGTTGTGGTGGGGATAAGATGGAGGAGGAGGAGAATGATGTAAGCTGCCTTGAGCTCTTTGTAGGAAAAAGGCAGGATATAAATTGCAGTGTGTGTGTGTATGTGTATAAGCATTTTGCTCCCACTCCTCTATTTTTTTTTCTTAGAAACACTTAATGTGCAAAACCACCAAAGCATATGCAAATATCGTTCACTGAGTTGCTCCAAAGTTCATCAACTTAACGTTAAGGCCACTGCAACCAAGAGGGCACGTTTGTCATGATTTCGGTCCAGGCACTGTGACATGTGGGATATATGGCAACTCATAAGTTATTTACAAATATGGATTTGGTGCATTGTATAGTGGGAGTTCTAGGAGGCGATCATTACTGCCAGAAATTTATCTGGATTTGTTAAATTGTTATATGGTGTTTCTACTTTCCATTCTTTGGATTTTAATGGAATTGCAAAATAGAATAACATACTACATGATACTACTACTTGGCACTTATCAAAACATTATATTCAATGTAATTTAGATATCTTAGGCTAAAATTGGAACTTCTGGCTCAGAGGTTTGGGAAGGGTGGGCCAAACGGAGTGCCAATTGACAAAGCTGGGAAGAGATTTTGCTCAAGTTTTAATGGAGTTTTCCTATTTGCCATGCCATTAGCGACTGGGGACTTTCTTCTGTCACCTCTGGTGATCACCGTGCCTGCATCGCCTCTGGTGGCAACATGGGAAGTCCTTTTGGTGGATATTAGCCAGTGTTCCCCCCCCCCCCCCCCGGCCGCATTTCTGGGGAAGCTGCTACCACCATCAGTCATAACCACTAGACTTTACTTGCAGCAGGGAGCATTCTGTTAATAGGAAACACATTTTCACCCCCTGTTTAGTAGGAGGCAAGTCTGGAGAGTCCATTTTATCTCAGTCCTACTGAGATAAAGTCGGCTGGGATCCCTGTTCCCATAAAACAGATGGACTGCAGTTTAGGACCAGCAAGGGGATGGCAAACCATTGGGCCATGTTATGATCATACGACTGGAGAATCTGAGGAAGCAGGGGAGGAAATTCTATTTCACGGGAGTTTGTACTTACCTTCCTTTTCATTTTCTGGCAGCTAAAGCGCCTCATTTTTCCCGCCTTGGTGATGTGGAGGTGAACGCGGGGCAGAACGCCACCTTCCAGTGTGTGGCTGCTGGCAAAGCTTCCGAAGCTGAGAGGTTCCTCATGCAGGTAGGTGGGGTTGGCAGTTCTTGTTGTTACCCCCGTGGGCCCCTGCCCATTTCTCTGTCCCTCCAGCTACTGCTGTGTGTGTCATGTTTTCTCCCTGACACCTGAATAATGACTAAATTCAAGATGTTTCTGGCTGGGCATGTTGGGAGTTGTAGTCTAACGCGTCTGGAGGGTCCCAGGCTGGGGAAGGCTGGGCTGCAACTTACTGGGATGAAGCCTGAAGCAGGGAAGGTTAGGTTTTCTGTCCTGATGTCTGTTGCCAGTAATTGTCTCCCTTGTAGCCTAGGAGTTGACCATTGTTCAGCTGGGAGTCAAGAATGGGCCGTTTGCCCTTCACAGGTCCTGAAGCCCAAGTGATCTATTCTAGGCTTGTGGACCTGAAGATGTATGTCCCATTTTTATGCCAATTTATGCCATTACACAAAGAGATAAATGTTCTAGTGCTGTATCGTAGTAACACACAGTTTCATTTGTCTGAGTGAAGGCAAGGATGGTGAGTGCGTTGTCAAATGAGAATAACTGAAAGAAGGGCTAGACGTCTTTCATTAGGAACTTTAGCCTCACTCCAGAGAACATGTTTCTTGTTTTGCTGGAGGCTGAGAAATGGGGGTCACTAGTCACCTATTCAGGGAAGCATTGCTCTCACTCTGTATTGGCTTTGTAATATGGCCACATGGAAAAATCTAAGTGGCTGTTTTGTAATATAACATTCATATATGGGATAACTGATGTACTAAGAATTGAAAAAGGAAATACGTTTTAGCAATCCACCCCTCAAAAAAGTTTTGGGGTGTGGGTAGAAGTTTTGGTATTCTCCCTACTATGACACGGAAACTTCCTTTTCTGATAATGTTGGCCCATAGAAATATGGTTCAGTCCTAGACTGAGTTGTCCTTCTCATGTGCTAAAAGGCACAGTACTTGTTTCCCTCTAAGAGAACTTAAAGAAAGGTGGAGAAAAATGGGACTGTGCAGAACAACTGAAGAGATAACTAACCACACAAGAGTTATGATGGAACCCACAGTCACCTCTTATCCTTTTCTTTATGGATGGCAGAGGCAAAATGGAGTGATTGTACCATCTGCATCCGTGAAACACATCAGCCACCGGAGATTCCTGGCTACTTTTCAGCTGGATAAGGTTTCCAAAGGAGACCAGGACTTTTACCGCTGTGTCACCCAGTCTGGCCGAGGCTCTGGTGTCTCCAACTTTGCAGAGCTCATTGTAAAAGGTATGCATTGGTGGATATTGAAGAGAGAGTTTGGCTCATGCTGGGAGAGGGCAGGCCTGGAAAGTTAAGACTGAGGGAAGGGTTTTGCATCTAACTGAATGGGGGTTGCTGGTTTTTTTTTTTTTTGGTAAACCAAAGCTGGGAGAAAGAGAACAGACAACATGGAGATCTGGTTATGATGAACTTGGGTGAATAGATTTTGTGAATGTGTAAAGGCACACAGTTGGGGGGGGGAAGAAAGGTGGGTGGTGCTTTCCTTGCATATCTTTTGCATTGACAGGTGTAGCTGAATATTACTTATTATGCAACCTTGCACGGCATCTGAGGAGTCAACAACCTGAGCTGTACAGGCACAACCCATCCTATGCCGTTCAATACAACTAATGCTAAGGAACAGAGGGCAATTGTAACCCGAGACCAAAAAGATGGTGCCTGGTGGGTCTCAGTGAGGAGACTGTTCCACAACTGGAGGTGGCCACCACTGACAAGTCCCTCCTTCTTGCTGCATTTTTCTGGGCTTCCCTTGGAGATGGCAGCCAGAGGAATGCTCTAGATATTGATCATAGGGTCTGGGTAAATTGAGGTCAGGGAGGCATTCCATCATGTGTTGAGGTCCCAAGGTAGTGTAGGGCTTTATCGGTTATCAGCTTTATCAGCACCAGGTAAGCTGCCTTGGGTTCCTTGCTGGAAAAAGGCAGGAAATAAATGCACAAATGGTTGCCTCCTCCCCTCTCTCCTCTCCTCTTCTCCTTTTGGCAGAACCCCCTACTCCGATTGCGCCTCCCCAGTTGCTGAGAGCAGGCTCAACTTACTTGATCATCCAGCTTAACACCAATTCCATCATTGGGGACGGTCCGATTGTTAGGAAGGAAATTGAGTACCGGATGACGTCTGGACCATGGTCGGAAGTGCACGCCGTGAACATGCAGACCTACAAGCTGTGGCACCTGGATCCTGACACTGAATATGAGATCAGCGTCTTGCTCACTCGACCCGGGGATGGAGGGACTGGCAAACCTGGGCCTCCCCTCATCAGTAGGACCAAGTGTGCAGGTAGGAGCTTTCATGCATTGTGGCCTTTCAGAGGGATTTCCCCTGGCAAGAGCAGTTATTCGAGTGCTGAAGGCTGGTCTACAGGGCGGCATTCGCTGTGGTCCAGGGAACTGTAGCATGAAGGGTTATTGCACGAAATCCCAAACGATCTTGGATCTTGCTCTGCGTGAAACCACTTTCTGCACTTCCAGTTTGGCACTAAAGTCCTGCAATCAGCACTGTGTGAAGCAGGCAGTCAAGAGGCAGCCCAGTGAAGGGAAGCTTGGGAGTGTGGTTTGATTTCAGGGGCTCGTGGAGGCAAAAGGCTTGAGGCAATAGCCATTTGCACATTGATCCATCCTGAGGTCTGCTTCCATGGAAGGATTCCAAAACCACTTCAGGGATTTTCACTAACAGGTCACCTAGAAGCCCAAAGCATCTTGCAATACTTGATGCAATTTAATAGGTATGGCTAATGGACTTCCACTTTGGGGAGGGACCAGAGTGGAGAGGCAGAGCACCTGCTTTGCTTGCAAGCACTTCCAAGATTGATGCTTGGCACCTCCATTTGAAAGTAGCCATTACAGGTTTGTTGCAGGGTCTGGAGCTGGGACATGGGTGGTTGAACACAAGCCTAGAGCAACAGGGGCATCAAGACCAGGACAGCAGAACTTCAGGCAAGGCAGAGCCCAAAAGCAGGGTTGAATGGAAAATCCAAGTCACAATCATGATACAGGCCAGGGACAGGAACCAGCAGTAAGCATGAGAGGGTCAGGAACTAGCCAAATGTTGAGAAATGGGAGGACAAACCGAGGAGCAGGTACCTTGGACAAGATAACAGGGCTGGAGACATGGCAAACATCAGCCAAAAGGCAGACACTTGAGACAGGAAACACAGCAAGATGCAGGACTTACAGGATGCAAGCACGGCGGCAAACAGGAGGACTTGTGCTTGAGGCATCAGGGTAAGGCAGGAGACACGGCAGGGACCAGGTGCAGGCACACCAGCAACTAGGCAAACCTGTGTTGCTGAGGCCTGTTGTGGAGGGATTTCTTTTATCTAGCTCTTTCCCTAGGATTCTTAGTAGGCCAAGAGTTCCAGCAGGACCTGGGACCAGCTCTGCAGATACACTGCGGTGCTTCTGGCTCTGGCCACGGCAGTGGCTCAGATCCTGATGGATGCCACCAACCGGTCTGATGATTCTGGGCTAGGTGGGTAAACGTCTGAGATTGCCAAGGCAGCATCGTATCTGCTGGTAGCCTCAGAGGAGGTGGGGCAGAGAGAGAGAGAGAAGTTAAAAGTCAATGAAAAGATTTCAAGAATGGAGAGGTCGGGATATACATGGCTTGTCATATCGATGGTTTCTTTGCTAATTAGCAGATGAACAAATGAAGTCCACCGTCTCCCATGCTGCACTGGAAACAGACTGGATGTGGCTGAGGTGTCACCTGCTCTTGTTGACCTCTTATTTGTGTTCTAATTATGTAATAACTTTTGAATTGGCTTTTAACAATGTCCTCGGATTAATTTCTCTTGGTCTCTGACCACAACGAGCTGTTTTTCTCTCTCGTTCTCTGTTACTGGCCCGATCAAGATATGCTTGGGAGTAGTTTCAGGGAGAAGGTTGTACACACGGCCCCTTTGACACACAGAGGATCAGCAGCTGATTCATTTCGAGTTCAAGTTTGAAGTTCAGTGAAGTGGCTTTCCCCAGAGGGCACTGGCTGGGATATTGTTTTCTGGAAATCCAAGGAAGCCATGAAATGCACTTAGGTCTGTCTAACGGAGATGGCTGTCTCCAAAGTGGATGTGCCAATCCTGGCTGAAGACTGCCAGGGGAAAAGAAAGCGAATCCATTCCAGCGAGCAGCCTCCTTTCCAGAGATGCCAGTGCTTGCGAGCGAGACTTACCGCTTTCTTCTCCGACAGAGGCACGTTAGGCTTACAAATGACCATTGTTTTGGAACAGGCACAACTGGTTGGAGGCAGGTGAATTAAGGGGCAGGGACGATGGTTTAGCAGCCACTGATGCCGGTGGCCCAGAACTCGTGCCAGGGAGTGTTGATGTTTACATCTGGATCGGGAGAATGGGCAAGAGAGCAGAGCGGGAGCGTTAAAAACCTCATGACTGCAGCTGCCCCGTTCCTGCCGTACTGGATGCTCCAAGTCAACCTTCCCCTACCTGGTGCTTCCAGGGAGGGCCATTGACTGGGGATTCTGGGGGTTGCAGTCCAAATGTGTTAGAAAGGCTGCTGTAAGCTGAAAATGTTGCAGGCATGCAAGTGTTTCTCTTAAGAGGCGTGTATCATTAAGAGGGCATTTGTTGCTAAAAGATCAGTGTTAGTTTCTCACATCTCCCCCTCCTCTTTTCCTCTCCAGCAGGCAATACTTAAGAAGCATAGTCCCTGACTGAGCTCTACAGATATACAACCAACACAAGTCACAACAACAACCCCTTTGATATGTGGGAGTAATCTCTGCCCATGTTAAGAGTTGCATCCAAACTTGGAACATTCTCCTCTTTCTTTCCTTTTCGAAAAGGACTTGGCTCCACCCTTGGGGTGGCTCATGCTCTTGAGGGCTAGACAGTGGGAATGATGGTCAGTTATTTATTGGTCCTCTCTCTTGGCCTCACACCTCTTGATAGGGTCTGAGAACTGCCTGTCTCTTCCCCTCCTGGCTCTAGAGTGTCTCCTCTCTGCTCCAAGACGGTTTGTTCTCACACTTGGTCTCAGTAATTTGGCATGGTGGCTGGAGAGTTCACAGCACTCTGCTAATTGCTGCTCATCTTCTCTCTGCTCCAACTCTGAAAGAGGTAGCTGGAAGTAAATAGACTATAAGCTGGGAGGGCTGTCACCTCTTGGCCAGCATTGCATCCATGAAAAGACCAAACTTAACTGGAAATTGACACCCGGAGATTAATTAGTGAGTCTAAAAGATGAAGTAGCACATGAAAATCAAGGCATGGACAGGAGAAATAAAAATGTATGGGGACGTTTCAGCAACATTAAAAGAAAGTTTATTGTGGACCATCTGGTGTTTCCCCCCATGTCCTCTCTGTCTAGTTGTTCCACTCTCAAGTTTTACTTCCATTCTCTTCTCACCCTCTTTTTAAAAAACTTGTTTGATGATTTCCTTGTTCTGCCTATGGAAGTATGAGTAATGATTGGGTGTGTGCAAGTCTCATTTTAAAAATCCATAGTTTAATTGGTAGGAAATTTCAGGGAAGATTTGAAATGGCAACGGCTGTGCGAGAAGAAAGGGAGGAAGCAGCTGGGGAGTTAAATAGCAATGAAAAGACCATATAAACACACACAAGAAGTTAAGTCTCTTCTCTTTATCGGATGCATTTGCATGCAAAGAAATGAAATAAAAATAAAGGAAGCAAAACAAGTCAACCAAATCGCACCTGTGAAACATTGCCTAACTTTAGGGCCATTAAAGAAATGACCCTGGTGTCAGATCTGGCTTGTAAGCTTCTGGAAAAAGTGCCTCTTGATCTAACAGTGTGCAAAGGCACCATGACACATGCAACAACCACACTGTGGCTTTGTGCAGCAATTGTGTATGGCAAGACGCAGCTGGAGTTCTTGCTTGCTTGGCCTTCCTGTCCCCACTTTCTTTTTCTAGGCCAAGGAAGCAGAGGGTCCGCTAGGCTGAGGGTCATCTTGAAGAAGGTCTAGTGAATGGTGAGGCTGAAGCAGGGCTGGCCAACTGCTGCTGCTACCGCTACCTCAAGCAGGGTGCTCCGGAGAACCCCATTGGCTCTTCTCCTGCTGGGGCAGCTGGGATTTCCAGAGCAGCCGCAGGGTTAGGAAGCCCCCAGAGCTTCCCGGTGGGCCTGCTCACGCGTGAAGTCGAATGTTGCAGCAACAGAGCAGCTTGCCCTCCCCTAGCTGCTGAAGAGAGCCTCCTGCAGCCTTTGATGGCCGACTTATTGCTCTGCCGTTGGAGGGCTGCTCAGCTGATGCAAACGTTCCCCCTGCAGAGGTGACCGTGGGGCACCCTTAACTGGGGTGTGGTGGCAGGGGCTCAGCTGGGTCCATGCTAGGGGCCTTGGCTGGGATTTCCTGCCTGGCACACAGTCATGGCACAAGCTTTGTTAACAAGCGCCCTCTGCTTTTGGCCTCTCTGCCTCCTTGTTCCAAATGCAGACATGGGGGATACGCCTGGCACTGCTGTACCACTTCCATCTGCCCCCTCTCTGTCCTCCACACACACCTCCCTCTCTCTGCTCCCTCACACACTTACACCTCTCATGCATGTGTGTGTAGACACCCCCCCTGCCCCCAACCCATCAAATTCAGTACTGCCCCAAGAGGACTTTAGGAACTGGCCAGCCCTCCTGCTGGTAACCTAAATTCTGGCTCCTATCCTTTTCTCTTTCCAGCGTCAGGTGAAAGCCTTTTTATTCTCCAGAAATTTTGATAGTCAAACCTGAGCTTTATTATTGCATTTTATATCATTGCTGAGCCTGTATTTTTAGCCTGCTTATGGTGGCAGTGGCCTTGTTGGATTGTCTTATTGGGCGGGTGTTTTTTTAATGGCGACAGCGGTCTTGTTTCTTATTGGTGGTTTAGTGATTCTATTGGTTTTACTGTTTTGTTGTGTTATGCTTGTTTTATGCATTTGATTTTGTTAACTGTCCAGAGAGCCTTTGGGCTATCAGATGGGATAAAACCAGCTCAAGTATATAAATAAATAATGGTCCCCTCACCTCACCTCACCCCCCCCCCCCAGTTGGCTTCCTCCTCCCTTCCTTTTGCCCCTTATATGGCCATGCTGGGAAGCCAAAGCTGGGCTTCTCGATTCCACCTCTGCTCCTGCCTGCTCCCGGTCTTCCCATGTTGATTTCCAATCAGGGCGGTCACATCAGTCTCCGTTATCCCATCTCAGCAAGATGTCAACATTCCAGCCTGAAATGTGTCGTGTCTGGCTGGTGCGTGCAAATAGCTGTACTCAAGCCTGCTGTTGCATCTCAGATTTTCATCGGATTCTCTTTCTGAGCCCGGCGCTGCCTC